CCCTTCCAGCCCTAATGTCTATGAAATCTATGAAACTTTCTACGTGCCATGGCCTTGCAGGAGGCAAAAACATGCTTCATTGCTTACTGTGATATTTTCATAAGCAACAGAATTTTTTCGTGTGATTGACCACTTGGGGCATTATATATAACTACCTCTGCTTGTCTGTGGAGTCATGTTTTACTCATTGTGAAAAATTGTGTATGGGCTCTGCAAACAAGGATTGCAAAAAAAAAATTTTTTTTAAATTGATCTGAACAGTTCACTTCCATGGAAATTAAAATGTCACAATAGGGAAATGTTGAGTTTTCTTTGCTCCACTCTTTGCAGGTGATGCGGGACTGAGTCAGGTTTATGCTCCAGCTGTGAATGGGACATTTCTCTCTCCTGGATTCTAAAGGTCAGAGGTGAATTATTAGATGCAGGCTGATAATTTAAAAATTGGGGGAACAGAGACTGACAATGAATTTCAAAGAAACCATTCTAATGCTAAGAAACCTGTTTAGTCCCTAACTCTTAATTGTGTCCATATTACTACTTATGTTCTCTTCTGTCACTACTCTTTATCACTCCATCTTACCTGAGTCCTTCCACTGGCTTCCTGTTCTGCACAGCATAAATAGGAGTTTCCTTGTCCTTATCTCCAAGATCATGTGTTATCTCACCTTTGCTGGTTTTTACCCTTCTGGTTTTTTCCTTTCTTTCCTCTCTCTCTTACTGCTTCCACTGTTTCTGGTCATATTGTTTACTGTTCCCTGGGTCTCCTTTCCTCACGATCATCCATAGGGTCTTACTCTGCTGAGGCTCCCTCCCAATCGTCTTATCAAGTCTTTTCTTTTAAAGCCTCTACTCACTGCTTCACCACAAGCTCCTCAGTTTGCCAGCCTGCTGCTTGTATTCATCATGTGTTATTTAAATGTGGATCTACCATGGGATCTATGCACATCTGTAACATTCTCCACAAATCGATAAATGGGCAAATCCGTTCAAGACTAACAAGTTATCTAGCTGGTGACAGGGAATGTGTTGTATTCATATACACAGCTATGTGTCAATGTTTGCTAACATCACATTTTGTAAGAAGGTCCCAAATGTTAAAGTTATTAGTGCCTCAGAAATACATCATAAATATTTTCTATGCATGCAGAGTAGCTTCCTCAAGATTTTCTATCACCAGTTTCCTATTTGTGTTTTATTCAAGTATTTTGGTTCACCTATTTGTAAATTTATCTGCTTCATATATTGCTTAATATGATTTCCTCTCTGCCCAATCACTTGCTTATTTTAGCTGATGCTTCCTGTCTCTCTGCCACTTTCTTTGTAAACTCCCTGTTTGTATCTTGCTGTCTTCCATACCTAAGAATACTCTCTAAACTTTCCTACCAATCACTGTACCTATGTCTCTTCTCTTCCCAGTCATCATTGCTTATTCATCTCATCTGTTCCAAATGGTCTTTTATCTTTCACCTTTACTGCTTTTTTGCAGTAATTGAATTATATGTTTATGCTGCTCATCCACAACTGCATGTCTCCCCCTACTCCATGAAAAACTATTATGACTAAGAGCTGGTCAAAATCAATGAAATGAAACCACACCAAAAACTCCATTTCATCCTAGCAAAACAGTAAAACCAACATTGTTTTGGGTTAAATGAAATGTTTCATTTTGTTTAAAGGAAAGTAGTCCCTGGTACACAGCAGTGAAGTGAATTCTAAAGCAAAATATTTTAAAATTAATATCAAAACGTTTTATTTCAAAATTACTGAAATGAATTTTTTTAGCTTTTCAGTGTCCTTTTCAGCGTTTCAGCTAAAACAGTTTTAAATGTTTAACATTAATTTACAAATAGCTTTGGTCTATTTGAATAAGCATTTTTTGGTGGAAAAAAAGCATTATCCAGAAATTTCTTCTGACTTTTAGGACTAATTTGTATGTTGTTGATACCTAACTACTTACAGGAGAATTAGAGGTGCTCTTCCATACATAGGTGCAGTATATCCCATTCTAGACATCACTTCATTTTAGGGGTGTGTGAATCAGTTTTATAAGATGGGCTTTAGGAGTTTTATGATAACTCTATATAAGGTTATCCATATATTCTTTATATATAGAAACACATATATTCAAATATATGCACAAGTATACGTAGCCCCAATTCTTCTTTGTGATGTCGTCACTTTACATTACATGCGAGAGATTTTTAAAGAGACAGAAATGGTCCCTGAAAAAACAGAGATGATTCACCCTTTCTTAATACAGGACAGAAGATGCATTCAGTGTTATCAAAGGTAGCCAAAAAGAAAAAGTGAGAAAAGCAAACTACCATATAATTAACCTGTAGAACTCAATGGCACTATTTAAAGTGGCTGAAATATGCCCACAGCTTCCTGTGGGTGGCAGCACCATTCATAATATTTACAGTGCTGTGGCTGTGGCTCTTAATTTCTTAATTATTGTAGAGTTCCAGGATTTCAAGAGCTTTTTCTGCAAAATAAAGACTATACATATTTAGCATTGCAACCATATTTGCAAAACATTGCAAACCATATATGTATATATAACCAGCTGTTATTTGCTCCTGTAAGAGCAATATTTATTTGACAAAATAGGTTTCTATGAAAACTCATGCCTCTCCAAACCAGTTAGCCTCTAAGGGCGCTTACACAGGTTACATTTTTTGTGTGATCAGGCCCCTGAAAGTGCTCTATGGCTGTCACGTAACACACATGCACAGCTGCAGAGCACTTTTAAAATGGCTGATAGCATGAAAAATTAACCCTTGCCAAATCAGGTATTTGATTAAGATGCTCTAAAGCAGAGCAGCTTAGGGAACTTGTGTTCTCCCAATGGTTAATTCTTTGCATGGGGGCAGGGCTGGACTGGGCTTGTGCTCTGTCTGGCAGCACCAGCCTAGCCTTGGCCCTAGGGTTGGCCAGGGGGTGGGTGAAACAAATCCCCCTTGCTTGGCCCAGCTCCCCTTGAATACCTCAGCAGGGCAGGGGTGCAAGGTGAGGGGGCTCCATTACACCCCCTCCAGCTCTGGCTTGGGGTAGCTCCATGCTGCTTCCACCCCCTCCCTCCCCTGCTGACAGCCCCTGAGTGGAGAGGGCACAGCTGGGGAGAGGGGTGGTTCAGCATCCTCCTCGGAGGCAACTGGAGCACCTCCACCTGCTGGCCAGGACCAGTGCAGGTAGGCTCGATTTCTGCCCCCCCCCCCTGCAAACAGGCGTTCACACCATGAGATACAGCAGGCCCCTGAACATCTGTAAGCACCCTAAGGTGCCACCCTGTCCTGCTTTCAGCCTCTCCTTTAAGAGGAAGATTCATTTGCCCCCTGGAAACAACCTTT